AGAGTCGCGATCGCGGACGCGGCTTTTTTTTTTTTTTTTTTGGTTTTGGCTGCTTGGGGCGGCCAAAACCCTGGAGCCGGCCCTGGTTAGAAGAGCTTAACATGGAGCTATACGGCCCAGGGAGGTTTTGAAAGAGCACTTTAAAAGTAAGCCACAGTAGGTCGTTGTGATGCGCTGTGCTCTATCTGGCCCTGCTGTTTTGGGGCCAGTCAGGAATTGTGTGACGCTTGGTGTATATCTATGAATATAACACTGTCAATACAGCTATTAATTTTGCGGTGCTTGCTGTCCATTTATGATATTACACTGTGTTTGTCACTGGTTCGATGAGTTGTGTCAACCTGTACAATAACACATAAGTGCGTGCTTTCAGTACCACTGGGCACTCTGCAGCATTTAAAACCAAGTTGCACAAGCACCTGTCAGAGACAGTCTAGTTATACTTGGTTCTGCCACAGAGCAATAGGCTGGACTTGATGACTTCTTGAGGTCCCTTCCAGCCCTACATTTCTATGATTCTGTGGTATGCTGTGACTTAATAAAGATGAATTACTTTCCAAAGAATAGAATTTTTTGAGAAACAAAACCAGGCCAAAGAAAAATCTGTGCGATTTAAACACAAACACATTAAAAACTTAATAAATTAATGGAAGAGAACTTTAACAAGGGGAAAGAACATTCACGTCCATTTTAGCTACATATACAGGAACCGTGGCTTTCACAGGTCAGCATGTGTGAAGCTGTGGTTGTCCCGACTGTCCCCTGGGGCAGAGTGATAGGAGAGGGATGCAGCCCCTGATGCCACGTGGAATGCTGAGGAGGTGTACGGAGGTGTGTAATGGAGTTTTCGACAGACTACAAAGGGAGGTGAGCCCATGACTGTTGACCCTGTAGATTCACAAGAGTCTGAAGTATCTGTGTTTGCTGCTGGAGAAGCCCCGTTATGTCCTCATGCATTTCTCACTCCTTTTCCTGATGATGCTCCTGTGCCTTTCTACTGTCGGCTCTTTCCTTCTCCATACAGTGTGCAACATTCATCCTCTAGGCCCCCTGCTCACAGTTCGATGCAGCACTGGCTTGCAGGATCTCACTGAATATGTCATCCTGAGTCCTCTTCTTTGTCCTCCTTATCTTGCTCAGGCGTTGCACAGGTGTGGAAGGGGAACCCTTCAAGGCTGCAATGGCAGCAGCTACAGACAAAACACACAGAGGAACCATTGTCAGTATAGTCACAATGGAAAGCAAAAGTTAAGATTCAAAACTCCCTTATAATAATAATAATAAAAACTTGCTTCCTTCAAGTTTTAAACAATACAGGCTTATTGACACTTCTGCTTTGGCGTGCTTGTGCATGACACCACTCAGAGCTCGAGCCATGGTGAGAACGGCCCAGCAGGGTAAGGGAAATGAGGAAGGAATTGCTTGGTTGCATGAAAATGAATATAGGGCAATGGCTCTGAATACTGGCACCATTTTCCACAGGAAGTGGTGATTTTAACTGATATCTCACTCCTGAGGGTGACAAGAGCACAGCTGCTGCTGTTGTCCCAAAGCCACCCGGATCCTTATGCTGCTAGCCTGTGTACTGCTGACAGACATGGGAAAGTGTCCTACTGCAGAGGAAGAAATAAGGCTGTCAGCCCTTGAATCCTTCAGGAGAAGACTGCATAATATCTCCATGTAAGTTTCATTGAGATCTCTCTGGAAGATTCAAGGGACATCCCTGTGTACATAAACAAACTGCGCCACAAGCCCTGCCTGCCTAACTCTAGAGGGGAATGAAAAGCAGATAACAATGCTACCTCTGTGTTGTGACAGTGTGTACTCCCAACACACTATTGTAATAATCTTTGTACAAGGTAAGACTGTTGAGAGCATGTGGTGAGAGAAACTTTGCTTTGAATTTAACATAGTTTGTTAAGTTAGGCATGAGTTGCATTTTATCGTTATTTCTCTTGTAACCATTTCTAGCTTTTTTATCTCATTACTTGTATTCACGTAAAATCTCTCTCTTGGTGGTTAATAAACTTGTTTTATTGTTTTATGTAATGCAGTGTGTTTGAACTGAAGTGTTTGGGAAACTCCATTTGGGATAACAGGATTTGTGCATATAAAATGCCCGGACTTTATATGCGCTTGTATTGTCCAGGAGAGGACTGGGCAGTAGAAGACGTTCATTTCTGGGGGAAAGTCTGGACTGGGAGTGTGCTGGGGTCACCCTGCAGTATAACTCAAGCAGATAAAAGCCCGAGTGTGGCCGGCAGGTTGCGAGTGCACACAGACTTAGCTGGGAGTGATTTACATACTAGAGGCTGTTTGTGAACACTCCAGCAGTGGAGGCAATAACAGCAAAGGCACCCCACGTTAGAGGGCCGGGGTGACACAGCTACTCACTAGTCTAGATTGTACCCTGGGTATGTCACATTGTGCTGCTACCTCTTCTAGTATGAGTAAATTAATTAAAGTCAATAGCTGTGTCCTGTTAAGTTGGGGGCACCATCATTACATCATTATAATGGAAAATACAATTACACACTTACCCGAGGTTCCATTCCCCGCACTGGGCTCGCCCATGCTCAACTGCCGGACTGAGTGGACTGCAGTGGAGCCTCAAACAGGTCCTGGCTCACGGCATAGCTGGACACCCTCACTCACAAATCCCCCATCTTCCTCATCCTCGCTGTTCATGGCCAGGGCAGTGGTTGGGCTCCTCGGAGGTATCCACAGTGGTCTGCGGGGGAGGGGGTGTCTCCACCAAGTATGGCATGCAGCTCTTTGTAAAAGCAGCAGGTCTGTGGTTCAGCCCCAAATCGACTGTATGCCTCCATGGCCTTCTGATATGCCTGATGCAGTTCCTTCGCTTTCACACAGCACTGCTGCTAGCCCCTGTCGTACTCCTTTTCCTGCATCCCCTGTGCAATCTGCTCATGGATGTCCACGTTTCTATGGCTGGTCCATAGCTGTGTTACACAGCCTCTTCTCCCCGCAGGCCCAGGAGATCCAATATCTCCGGTCTATTCCAAGTCAGGAGCATGTAGCTACCGTGGTCAGCAGCACAGTTACACACAACAATGGAGAGCTGCTAGGTGTGCTTACCAAGCTGGACAATCAGGAAAAATGCATTTCAAAATTTGCGGGGCTTTAAAGGAGGAAGGGCCTTCTGGTCTCTGTGACCCCTAGGCAGTGGAGTTCACAACTTTGCCCAGAGTGGTCAGTGCTACACATTGTGGACAGCCATTGGAGACTGTTAGGGTCAACATAGGTGCTGCTTCAACCGCAGTACATCGTCCATGGCTCAACACTGCTCAGGGAGCCGTGTTAGTGATTTGCTGTTACAAGGCGCTTACATCAGAGGGAGACAAATTTAAGTGTAGAGACATACCCAGCTAGGTCAATGCAAGGCAATGCAACCTAACTTTGTAGTGCAGAGCAGGCCTAAGGAGGGGATTAGCTAGATGGAAAGACAAAGGAAGGGAGAGGGCAGAACAGGTTGGAGCAAAGAGCCAATCAGCACAGGAAAAAGAATGTTCAGAGTAAAATCTATAGAAAATAGTCTGATGAGATCCTCAGTGTCTGTGAGTCTCTGCTTGGACTGCTTTTTGCAGCTGCTCTGTCAGCTTCAGCCTCTGGCTGGCTCAGAGGAATCTAATGATATCACAGCCCATGGTGGCACTTTCCAGTTTCAGGGTCATTTATCCTCACCTTTGTATTGAGATCCTGTGGCTCATTCAGATGTCCTGTGCAGTTCTTAATGTCTTGTTTGCAGCAGCTCAGAGGAACACTGTTATTGCCAGTGGTATTAAACCACTGGGTGGCTGTCCAGTCGGTATAGTTAGTTACTCCACAACATCGAAGCTGTGAAACAACAAGTAACTAAATTAATGCAAACAGAGTTAAGTTGTACCATTCTTAGGAATGTCATGCAGGTAAGTCTCTGCAAGATGCTGACTAATAAAAAAGTTACAGTATTCTAAAGTAATCTATCAAAACACCGCAGTCACACTGTTGTAAGGTGTAGTGAATTAGACCACTACAGTAGTGGGGTTTGTTTGTTTTTGTCTTTTAAAGGCAAATGCCCTCCAGTCCCATTGAAATCCGAATTCAGAGCTCTCAGCCCTGCACAGGATTTGGCAAATACAGCACTTTTCTTCTTGCGATACTGTACGCAGTCTAAAAATAATGGAAGGAGGAAAAGGGAAGTTGCTTCATCAGCACGTGAACTACAGATAGAGCAAAAACAAGATCAGAAATACATCCTTTTCTTTTGTTAGTAATATTATTTGTGTGGCTACAATCACAATGGAGGACGGATTTATACAAAAAAATTCAGTACGTCAAGAAACTACATAAGAACATAAGAATGGCCATATGGGTCAGACCAAAGGTCCATCCAGCCCAGTATCCTGTCTACCGACAGTGGCTAATGCCAGGTGCCCCAGAGGGAGTGAACCTAACAGGTAATGATCAAGTGATCTCTCTCCTGCCATCCATCTCCACCCTCTGACAAACAGGCTAGGGACACCATTCCTTACTCATCATGGCTAATAGCCATTAATGGAATTAACCTCCATGAATTTATCTAGTTCTCTTTTAAACCCTGTTATAGTCCTAGTCTTCACAACCTCCTCAGGCAAGGAGTTCCACAGGTTGAATGTGCACTATGTGAAGAAGAACTTCCTTTTATTTGTTTTAAACCTGCTGCCCATTAATTTCATTTGGCGGTCCCTAGTTCTTATATTATGGGAACCAGTAAATAACTTTTCCTTATTCACTTTCTCCACATCACTCATGATTTTATATATCTCTATTATATCCTCCCTTAGTCTCCTCTTTTCCAAGCTGAAAAGTCCTAGTCTCTTTAATCTCTCCTCATATGGGACCCGTTCTAAACCCCTAATAATTTTAGTTGCCCTTCTCTGAACCTTTTCTAATGCCACTATATCTTTTTTGAGATGAGGAGACCACATCTGCACACAGTATTCAAGATGTGGGCGTACTATGGATTTATATAAGGGCAATAAGATATTCTCCATCTTATTCTCTATTCCTTTTTGAATGATTCCTAACATCCTGTTTGCTTTTTTGACTGCCGCTACACACTGCGTGGACATCTTCAGAGAACTATCCACAATGACTCCAAGATCTCTTTCTTGATTAGTTGTAGCTAAATTAGCCCCCATCATATTGTATGTGTAGTTGGGGTTATTTTTTTCCAAAGTGTATTACTTTACATTTATCCACATTAAATTTCATTTGCCATTTTGTTGCCCAATCACTTAGTTTTGTGAGATCTTTTTGAAGTTCTTCACAGTCTGCTTTGGTCTTAACTATCTTGAGCAGTTTAGTATCGTCTGCAAACTTTGCCACCTCACTGTTTACCCCTTTCTCCAGATCATTTATGAATAAGTTGAAGAGGATTGGTCCTAGGACTGACCCTTGGGGAACACCACTAGTTACCCCTCTCCATTCTGAAAATTTACCATTTATTCCTACCCTTTGTTCCCCATCTTTTAACCAGTTCTCAAGCCATGAAAGGATCTTCCCTCTTATCCCATGACAACTTAATTTATGTAAGAGCCTTTGGTGAGGGACCTTGTCAAAGGCTTTCTGGAAATCTAAGTACACTATGTCCACTGGATCCCCCTTGTCCACATGTTTGTTGACCCCTTCAAAGAACTCTAATAGATTAGTAAGACATGATTTCCCTTTACAGAAACCATGTTGACTTTTGCCCAACAATTTACATTCTTCTATGTGTGTGACAATTTTATTCTTTACTATTGTTTCAACTAATTTGCCCGGTACTGACGCTAGACTTACCAGTCTGTAATTGCCAGGATCACCTCTAGAGCCCTTTTTAAATATTGGCGTTACATTAGCTATCTTCCAGTCACTGGGTACAGAAGCTGATTTAAAGGACAGGTTACAAACCATAGTTAATAGTTCCGCAATTTCACCTTTGAGTTCTTTCAGAACTCTTGAGTGAATGCCATCTGGTCCCGGTAACTTGTTACTGTTAAGTTTATCAATTAATTCCAAAACCTCCTCTAGTGACACTTCAATCTGTGACAGTTCCTCAGATTTGTCACCTACAAAGGACGGCTCAGATTTGGGAATCTCCCTAACAGCCTCGGCCGTGAAGACTGAAGCAAAGAATTCATTTAGTTTCTCCACAATGACTTTATCGTCTGTAAGTGCTCCTTTTGTATCTTGATTGTCCAGGGGCCCCAGTGGTTGTTTAGCAGGCTTCCTGCTTCTGATGTACTTAAAAACATTTTGTTATTACCTTTTGAGTTTTTGGTTAGCTGTTCTTCAAACTCCTTTTTGGCTTTTCTTATTACATTTTTACACTTAATTTGGCAGTGTTTATGCTCCTTTCTATTTACTTCACTAGGATTTGATTTCCACTTTTTAAAAGATGCCTTTTTTTCCCCTCACTGCTTCTTTTACATGGTAGTTATGGTGGCTCATTTTTAGTTCTTTTACTGTGTTTTTTAATTTGGGCTATACATTTAAGTTGGGCCTCTATTATGTTGTCTTTGAAAAGTGTCCCTGCAGCGTGCAGGGATTTCACTCTAGTCACTGTACCTTTTAATTTCTGCTTAACTAATCTTCTCATTTTTGCATAGTTCCCCTTTCTGAAATTAAATGCCACAGTGTTGGGCTGCTGAGGTGTTCTTCCCACCACAGAAATGTTAAATGTTATTATATTATGGTCACTATTTCCAAGCGGTCTTGTTACAGTTACCTCTTGTACCAGATCCTGCGCTCCACTCAGGACTAAATGGAGAATTGCCTCTCCCCTTGTGGGTTCCTATACCAGCTGTGCCAAGAAGCAGTCATTTAAAGTATCGAGAAATTTTGTCTCTGCATTTCGTCCTGAGGTGACATGTACGCAGTCAATATGGTGATAATTGAAATCCCCCACTATTACTGAGTTCTTTATTTTGATAGCCTCTCTAATCTTCCTTAGCATTTCATCGTCACTATCACCGTCCTGGTCAGGTGGTCAATAATAGATCCCTACTGTTATATTCTTATTAGAGCATGGAATTACTATCCATAGAGATTCTATGGAACATGTGCAGTCATTGAAGATTTTTACTTCAATTGATTCTACTTTTTCTTTCACATATAGTGCAACCTCTTCCTCCCCTCCTCCCCCGGCATGACCTGTTCTGTCCTTCAATATATTTTGTACCCCAGTGATTGTGTCCCATTCATTGTCCTCACTCCACCAGGTTTCTGTGATGCCTATTATATCAATATTCTCCTTTAACATGAGGCACTCTAGTTCACCCATCTTATTATTTAGACTTCTAGCATTTGTGTACAAGCACTTTAAAAACCTGTCACTGTTTATTTGTCTGCCCTTTTCTCATGTGTCAGATTCTTTTTTATGTGAATGTTTCTCGTCTGATCTGGCCCATACTTTATCCTCTTCCATCTCTCCT